GTTGGATTTTTTCCCTTGTAGAAAAATGCAAAATGGTTAGGAGGAAGACTAGCCTTAATTGCATTGAAATTGTCTTGCGGTTTATCATATCTTTCTTATGCCAATAGTTTATGTTAGAAATCCCTTGGCATGGTGAGGTAATCACAGTTCCTAAATTTCTAAGTCTGATAATAGTACAGTTTTTATAAGACTTCTTTATGAGTTAGACTTTTAAAGAATAACTCTACAATCTAGATGCAAAACTTTAAAATCATAAGTACTATCTTGTTAATTTATTTTAGAAATCCATAAGACTTCCATTATGCCTCTTAGTTCTCAAATGTATAGTGTGAAAAACTGGTATTTCCAATGCCTGTAACACTCTTAGAACAAACGCTGACACTCCTTATCTTCCCAGCCACATAAAAGGTCTATTTGTATAAAACTAAATATAAGGGCATGTCTGCGCCTGAAATCTGCTGCATGTTTATTATTTGCACTGTCATCCACAGCAACTACTGTGGGAACAGACAGACTGTCCATATTCCAAGATTTCAGTATTTTCACTAAAGATCTCAAAAAGCTTTCTATCATAAATCTATTGTTTGGGAGTCGAGAGCTAAGTTTCTGGCGGGAGTAAAGAAATCCTAATACTGTTCATCAGAGTCACTCTTCTTGATCCATTGTATCACCACTGGACTTGGGTTGTGGTGTCTGGGTTTTCTTGTGGATTTTCTGTGAGCTAGCATTGTTGTTCTCATGCTCAGGCAGTATGGAGGAGCCAGCCTGGTGAGCAGCTGATTCATGGTGTCAAATATAGTTAGATATTTTTCCCATAGCTTTTCCAGGTGTTTATTCTCTTGAGGAAAGGAGTTCTGACTGGCGAGAGATCAGCATATGTGAGACAAACAGACTCTTAAACTCCAGTTTTCTGGAATTCTGTGCTAAGATTGCTTAGACACATGCAGCATTTCAACTACATAAGCACTCAATGCAGAGGAATGGGGAAATGCAATGTACCTAATATTACCTGTCAGATACTAGTTCAGATGTAGAGCAAGTGTTTAATTTTCTTTAAGATGTTTAATTTTTTCACGGGCTCACACAAAAAAGGAAAACTCATGGGTTAAGATAAGAACAGCGTAATAACTAAATAACTAAAGGAAAATAATAATAACAATAATAATAAAATATAATAATAACTGTAATGAATGAAAATATAGTAAGAGAGAGAGAGAAATAAAACCCAAGTAAAGACAAGTGATGCACAATGCAATTGCTCATGCATCAGTGACCGATGCCTGAGCAGCAATCCCCTGCACAGCCAACTCCCCCCCTTTTCTATACTGAGCATGATGTCCTATGGTATGGAATACCCCTTTGTCTAGTTTGGGTCAGCTGTCCTGTCCATGCTCCCTCCCAGCTTCTTGTGCACCTCCTCGCTGGCGGAGCATGGGGAACTAAAAAATTCCTGAGTTAAAATAAGCTCTGCTTAGCAACAACTAGAATATCAGTGTGTTATTGACATTATTCTCATACTAAATCCAAAACGCATCACTGTACCAGCTACTAGGAAGAAAATTAACTCTATCCCAGTCAAAACCAAGACACCCCTCTGGCTGATTTCATAACGGCACTTACAGGCTTTCTATACAAAGGAACTGTGTAACATATATGCACTATATCAGGCCCAAGCTGCCAAGACCAAAGAGGAACAATGTTGATATCCAGTTTCACAAGCAAATTGTCTGACATCAGCCCAGGCACAGTTTTGAAGGCCAATTCTTTTCTTACTTTCTTTTTCAGCCTAGGAGAGTAAGATGAATTCAGTCACACAAGTAGCAGCAAGAAATCTCAGATGCAAGCAAATGGCAGAGAAACCTGATGGTATGATTACTGAAGATTAACTTGCTTCAATATGAAGCTAATCTCCCCATTGAAACCACACAGAAAATTATATTTTTTAATAATGAGATTTTAATGCATTCAAATATTTTTATTTTTATTAACATATATCGGAAATGTTACATCAATATTTATTTTTTAATTACATGGAAGCAACAATGAAAAAACACAGGCTGGTGGAAAGTAAGCATAGAATTGGCAAGATACACATTCTGGTTTTCACTGGGTAATTATAATAAGCAAAGTGATCTGGCCAGCCCTTATTACTACAATATTGGTTTCCATTTAGTTTTTATGGTGTTAGCCAACCTAGTCTGATAAGTAAGACCCATCTAATTTGATCTCATGTGGTAGGCTGGGAAGCTAAAATGCAGTAGTTTCAACAACAAAAAGTTAAAGCTTGAGGCTTCTGAGGAGAAAGGAAAGCCTCCTTACAAATAGTTTGGATTTTAAATACATCCTTTTAATTTGGGAGGTGAAATGAAACAATCCCAGCCATAGCTCTTTCTGGGGGAAAAATCAAACCAAACCAAACCAAACAAAAAAAAACCAAAACAAACAAAACTAAACTTTGTTTCAGGCACACTAACTGCAAAACAAATACTGGGGTGTATGGAGGGAAGAGTAATACATATTTTTATGATTAAATGAAAACTCAGTGACTTAAAACCCAGCACTAAATTAAATCCTGGAATTAGGCAGGATCAAGGTCAGCACTAAACACCTGCAGAGACCTCAGTTTGTACAACAAAAGCTCACAAACCTTGTCTCTTGTATTGCCTATGAATACAGATCCTTGCACTCTATTGCTGCCTGCAGTGTAAAACTACCCTGGGCTATAATCCTACTTTTTTGAGAATTTTATGTTGCAGCAGGTCTTACAGAGATTTTTCTTTTTTTTTTCCCCCAGCTGCTCACTCTTTTTAGCCAGCTTTGCTATTTTTCCAAAGGGCTGGAAAAGAGCAAATTGTAATAACAAACAGAGAAGGGAAAAGGAAAAAGGAGGAACAGATAATGGTTTGTGTCTGCCATGTGGGAAAAAGCAGGAGTTCACTGCTGCAGCTAAATTACCTTTAGTTATATACACCGCTGTGACTTGAATACTTTATTTCATTCTTTGAGGGGATGTCACTAAAGAGTGGAAATAGGCAAAAAATATTTTTCTAAGCTAACTAAGCTGAGAATGAACATCCAGGAACTAAGAAGAGGCACCAAGGTCCCATAGGGTTGATCTCATGTCCAGTGGAAAGCTACTGGATTTCTGGAATATTGTCATGTCTGATTCTAGAAGGAACTTTACTAAAAGACTTTGAGGAAACATAAGTAGGGGAAAATCTTAGTGTTTTCCTACTGACAAGCCCTCTACATGAATTTCTGTGAGAAGGGCAGTTGGATTTACAATCAGTACTTTGAACCATTCATCATGTTCCTCCTTCTAATTTCTACTTTCTAACATTAAGCTGACAATGCCCAGTGGTCCTAATGTAAACTGATGTCCCGAAGATGGAGCCTACTTAAGTAATTGTGAAGGGATAATGGTGATTTAAAAGCCATAAACCAGGGCTTCAGAGGGTTCAGTTCCACAGGGATGAATGCGGCTTTTTAATCTGTTGCACTCGCAGCACTGAAAGATTTGTATTTTTCCTGAAGAATTCATGTTCAGCTTGCAATTAAGGACACAACATCTCACTCGAAATAAACCGTCAGGAGCCAGACTAACATCAGATAAGGAATATTCAAATGCTAATGTTGTCCCTCATACAGGGTTCACTACCAGCTATGTGAAAGTCAATCTCACACACAGAGCAGAGGTATCGGTTTATTCCGTACTTGCATGAAGAGGGGTGCTCCGTGGTAATTCCACAAAGCTAGCACACCACACGAAGGAACTCAAAGGTATTTATACCACATAATATAATGAGTATTGCTTAGTTGTTTATCACTTTATCCCTCGCTGGTTAGTAACAGTCTTGATTTAAAGTTACAGTGAGTTTTAATTTTTCTGTGCAAGCTCTAAAGAGTGAGTGTCTTTATTCTGTCAGGGGTCTCTGAAGTGGGGCCATGATTGTTACTATTACAAAGAGGATAATTCCTCCAAAGGACCCTCTAGTCGCTAACTAAAGTGGTTCACAGTAAACAATTTTTAACGAGCCTCCATGTTTCAGGACGTGTCTCTTCTTCAAGGTCAGTAGCTCCCGATTAGAAGTTCCTTAATAATTATTCTTGATGGTTTAAAGAACAAAATACCTCCTGCCTGTTATTGTATTTGTGAGGCACAGAATCACGACTTTAGACCCAGTAAGGTTATAAAGCAGGTATGTTTATTCAGCGCTGGGCACGGGGGAATAATTTCCTCCAAATGCACACGCGCCTTGGAGCCAAAAGCGGCTCCTTTTTATTACGTAGAATGTTATATATGTATCACAATTCCGGGAATAGGGAGGAAATATTACAATTAGTTCCAAGAAATCCATAAAATATCCCCCACCCCAAGCCTCCTTGGCGCCGACCCTCCCCTAGCAACTCCCATGTTATCAGATAAGCGGCATGTTTTAACAAAACACAGGGCGTGTCCCAACAAGCAACCTTAACAGACAAAGGGCATGTCTCAACCCCCAGGTGCAATGTTTCCTGAGGGTTTGGGGGCCATCTGGTTTCCTTAGATCATTTGGTGAGAAACATTTGTGAGGTCTACACTAACTCCGAAACCCGGGCTGAGTTGAATCTGAACAACTGCGTTCCGGTGACTGAAATGAGAGTACACGTCTGAGGCAGCTTAAAATCGGGCGCACGGGCACACTGAGGGTCAGGAGCCAAGCGCCGTTTTCAAATTACAGGGTGCAGCCCGCAGACGAGGGAAGAACCAGCTGGGAACAGGAAATGTCTGGCACAGGAGGAATCGCTTCTTCTCTCGCAGGCAGAAGCTGCGATGCCAGACGAGAGCATCCCCCGCGGGCGGGCGGGCAGGTCGGCGAGGGGCACAGGCGCCGGGGCCGAGGGGACAGCGCCGCGACCCCCCGGGCGCGGAGCTGCGGGGGAGAGGCGGCAGCAACGGGCGGGGCCTGAGGGCCGGGGCCGCCCCCGCCGCGGGGCGGGGTCGGTGTCGCGGGGTCGGGGGCGGCGGCCGGTCCGCCGCCCGCCCGCCGGTCGCTCAGCCGGGCTGCCGGACCCTCGCCGCGCTGCTCCCTCCGTGGGCCGTGCTCGTTTCTCCGGCCGATCCTCCGTGGCCCCCGGCATGCTGAGGGGGTCGCAGCGCCGGGGCGTCGCGGTCTCTTGCGCCGCAGCGCTCGGCGCGCACCGACCGGCTGCGGGAGAAGGAGGAGCTGAACGGCCGCCTGGCCGCTCTGCGTCGAGAAGGCGCGGAGCCTGGAGGCAGAGAACCGCGACCTGAGGCGGCGGCTCGCCGACCACGGCGCGGCGTGCGGCCGCGGGGTCGCCCGAGTGAGGGCGGCGTGCAGCACCTTGCTGGCCGACGCCCGCCGGGTGCTGGACGACAGAGCGCAGGAGGGGGCCGGGCTGCGGGTCGAGCTGAGCAACGCGCAAGCCGAGCGCGACCAGCTCCTGAGCAGGTACGGCGGCGGCACGGGTTGGGGGGGGGGGGGGGGAACACGGGACACGGGACACGGACGCGCACGGGTGGGTCAGGACGGGCGCCAGAGCCGGCGGCCGGGCTGAGCGGCGGTTCCGTCCCGCCGGGGGACGGGGCGGCAAGCCGAGGCGGCCACCAGCGCTGCCCGGCTCCGCTCCGCTCCGCCCCGGAGGGAAGCGGCGGCCCGGTCCCGGCCCCCAGAGCCGCTGCCGCCCCGGCCCCCGCTGCCCGTCGCTCCGGAGGGCAAGGCCTCCGGCCGAAGCGCTGGTGGCGGCACCCTCCAAACTTAGCCCGAGCTCACCCTCACGTAGTGGAGGTTGGAGGGCCCCGGGGTTTGAGTCGGGATGCCCCTTCACCGCCACCGTTCTCCGTACGAGCAGAGGACTCTGTCCCTAAGGCGTAAACTGCTTCAGGATGAGAAATGCTCGGTGGTGATCGTTTGTGTAGTGGCTGTTGCGGGCCGAGGCTTTTAAATGTCCTTTCCTAAAGACGTTAACTCCATAATGCGAAAACACACAAGTAGATAGTAAGTAGGGTTTGCTTAAAACAAAACAAACTATAATTTCTGGCCATTTTGCTGGATATTCAGATGTGACAGAAGGTAGATTTGTGACCAAGCTTCATGGCACGGTGGGAAGATCTTCACTCTTACAGTGAACTCATTTGTGCCCTTCAGTTTTGCTTCTTACATATTTGACTTGATTCAGTTGTGTGCTTATTTGCTTCCTTGTTTTTGTTTACCATAAATTTGATTTCTGTGACTACTGTAGTTTTCCAATAGCAAAATAGAATCTTCTGTTTGGGCACTTTTTTTTTTGTTAGTTAGGCCCACTTACCATTCTGTAACTTTAGTCTTGGGACAACAAAGTTTGTCAATGGATTGATCTTGGGAAAAGAAGAGCAGAGTTGTTAATCTTGCCTTATCTTGACTGTCCTTATCCTTTTTATCAAAATTAATTTTAAGGCTCCGTCACCTATTTGTTGGTTTCTCTGATTTTTCTGACTTCATTCTCATATATGGTGTGATTTCCTGAATTTAAGTGCCAGAAGCTTCTTCCACTCACATTTTTAATCCCTCAAGAAAAAATACTTTGTTTCTATAGTTGATACTGCTATATATAGTGGACTCCTTGCATACTCCCAGAGTGCCTGCTGTGTAGTAGGTACTACTGCTGTAGCTAAATAAACATGAAGGCTTCTCTAGATATTTTAGATCTTTAAGAACTAGGAAAAAAGAAGGGGGGTGAAAAAAAACAACCTCCCCTATTTCTCTTCTGAGGAAAGGATGGGAAAATGATATGCATAACTGTGAATGTAAAAATACACTTTTGACCAGGAGGGAATGGAGATAAGCCAGAATAAATCTCTTTATCTCAAAACTGTATTGTGGAAAAAAAAAAATCCATGTACTTTTGAGTTTAGACATACGGAACTCTTGGATAGCTCTTCAGAGGTAGAGAAGAGAGAGATCTTGCCTCTTCCCTAGTTTGTGAAAGAATTGGGCAAATTTACTAACTTAACAATATTTCCAGTTAATTTTCTCTTTCCTGATTAGGCAACACTTTACTCTGTATGATTTCCCATTGGTGATAGCTGTTGTAGAGACATCCCTCTACTTTCTTCCTTCCTTCAAATAGTATGCTCAATTGTGATTGCCATTTTTCTACATTCAAGGGCTGTAGAAGACATGAGCAGTAGTTCAACAACCTAAACTTGTGTTTTCTACCCAAAATTGGTGTTGAACTTCAGGATCCTTGCTCTTGGTTTCATAACCACCCATTTTCTATGTTGTGTGACTGCACAGTGAACTGAGGAACTGACCTGACTGGGAAACCAACTGCAATCCTGTTCACCATGCTGTTGGCCTGAGAGAGGGGTGCAGGAGAACAGCCAGGATTCACACGAGTACAGCCTGCCTTTATCACTGTTTATAGCAGGATAGCCATGGCTGGTATCTAAGCTACAGCCCTTTCAAATAGGGATATCAGGTTATTGGGTTCAAATTGATGTCATAGAGGTGATGAATTGTGGCTTCAATGAAGATCTGCCTGACTGGAGGACTAAAGGCATTCTGGGCATGTAAGCTTTAATGTTACATATAAAAAAAGATATGTGCAAATGGATTTCCAGCTACTAGACTTGCTCATGAATAATGGTGAAACCAGCTAGTTGCTCTCAAAGTGTGTAATGATGCAATTAGCACCAAACTCCTAGCTGTTAAGGGCACTCTACCTAAAATTCCTGAAACAGAGCAGTGTGGCCTTGGCTGGGACTTCAGATTACTGCAAATTTCATGTTCATGGGGAAAGGAGCTAACTAGGCAAGGTAGTGAAAGATGTGATATTTAAACATTCCATAATGTCATCGTTTAGGTGGCAGAGTCAAGAGTAGAGCTCTAAATTGCTCCATCACTCCAACAAGCTGCAGACTGGATTAGGTTTCAGCTCGGGTAGAAGTCTATCATGTTCTCATCGTTCACAGTAGCTGCAAACCAGAGAGAACTGTAGAGCCAAGATGGTGGAATAAATATCCCAATGTGTAACTTGAGCAATTAATGTAACAGTGGTTTAAATTGTGACGTTTGCCACAGCTGTGTTACCTCGTAATGTTGAACAAGTATAGTTCAGTAAGTCAGGTTTACTGTCAGTGTTGTGTTACTCTTGTCTGCTGATGGGTCAAGTTTCAGGACAGATTTCCACTGCTGAGGTGAATGTTCATTACGGGGACCTAAGCATATAGCAGGTCCGAATCCCTAGATGGATTTGTCTGTATTCTGATTTGTCATGCAAGGTAATCACACTGTTTAGGAAGCACGAGCTGGTGTTACTGCTAGTTCATTTAGGAAACTCCTTGTTTACATTTGTCTTTGGCAGGCGGGGATGTCACTGTGGCAGTTTTCCCGTGCTGAAGTAAATCTGCTCTCTTGTAGGAGGAGACAATGAAAAAAGTAACTTTGAGGGAAATTGTGGCTTATTGAAGATATTGGTAAAGGATATAATAGTCATTGATTATCAAGTGTTTTATAGAGTGCAGATGTTTATAGTAAATGTAATTGTGACAAGGAACTAATTTAACGCGTTTTTTAGTATTTAAGAGATTATTTCTCTGGCTCTCTGCCTTTGTATCTTCAATTGGTCTTCTCATCTATATTCTGAAATTAATTTATGCAGTGGGATTAAGCAGTAAAATAAACATTAGCAGTATCTTGGTATCAGTCTACGGCTTGAATTGCTGTGCAAGTGTGTGGCACTTTGCAGCTGGGACCCTGAGCAACTACTCAGAAACATGTTATGTTAATGGAAGCAGAGTTGCAACAGCTGTTCCAGGATTTTCAGCAATTTATATGTGTTATGCTGTAATGAGCTAGAGAAACTGTTTTGCGGAAGCTGACTTAAAACATTTTTAAGCATGTTTTCGTTATTGTAGGTGGTCTTGAGAGGTCAAGTGAAGATTGGTGGCTGGGGAACAGCTGAGCTTTAATCTGAAATCTATAACTTCTTATGTGTACAGTAGAGAGAGCACCCAGGGAAGGAGGGGAGTAATTAGCTTGTTGCACAATAATTAAAGCAATTGAAGTGTAAGAATATGAGTTAAGCTATCTAAGAGTGTGTCCGATACAGTGTAGGATGTAACAATGCAAGGAACAACTTGCTGTAGGTTTAAAGGTGGTCTCGAATATGTAATAATTAACATGTTAATGTAATAATAACATGTTAATGGGCAGTGACTTGATACATATGCACTGTATGTGTAAAGGTTCTACCTAGGTTGTTGGTTAGAGTAGTGGGATTTGCGTGGTTGAGCTCTTCAGGAGGGGCCACTGTTGAGCAGTAAGTGGCTAGAGATGGTGTATAGTGTTGATTTCAAACACTCAGTAGCTGTCCCTAGTCAAATAGAATGGGTGACATGAGACAAGTTGAAACCAAGTTACATATATTTACAGGAAAGACAAGCCTGTCCAGTTACTCTTGTTGTCATGTTGGTCTATATACAAAAGTTTGAATGCTTTAAGACAGATGTTTCTTATATTACTGTATATCACTTCCTTGCAAAACATAGCCCTACTGTGTTGTTTGCTGTAGGGGAAAAGAATATAAAAAACAGACGGCTAGCCAAGCAAAACATAAAGCGTTAATGACTATAGTTTGTTTCTTTGTTTTTTTTGGTTTGTTTTTTTTTTTTTTGTATTTTACTATAACTGGAGTAGCAAACCAACCTGATGTGTAGTACCATGTAATTGTATATGGATGCAAATATAGGCTGCATTATCTTGAATTGCACCACTTGTGTAGCTATGTTGTGAATTGGCTGAAAACCAGTGTTTTTCACAGAGAGTTTAATTCATGTTGGTAATGCTTAGCTTTGTGATCCAAGTACTGGCAAAAACAAGTGCATGGGTGTGGGAGGTGACAAACATCTCCTGTAGGGTGGTGGCATTCTGCACTTAGTTTCAAAGAAACTTTAAATTACACCTGAGATGTAGCTACTGACTGAAAGGAGCACTTTAGGTGTGTGGGTTGTCTGGTTCAGAAGGCCAATTCAATTTATTAAACTGGTAGAAAATAATTTTAATTTATCTTCCTGCTTAGCTTTTCTACTAATTTAGCAAGAAATTGAATGAGATTACAGGAAATTCTAAGTTATTTCATGAACCTCAGGGTTGACGGAAGAAGGGTGGTTGTGCAAGAGAGTGAAAAGGGAGCCTGCCTTTTTCAATGAGCTGTTCAGTGACTCCATTTCACTAAACTGCACACGGAACAGTCTGGGTAATCTCACCAAAGCAGTGATTGCCCCATGATATCTCTATTTGAGAGTTTTGAGTTAGCTTTAAATGACCTAGTGCAGGTAACCAGACACAGCATAACCACAGTATCTTATAGTTGTGTGTGAGTTGATGTGCTCTGCTTTACAGGTTAAGTTTTGGGAATGGTGAGCAAATTAACCTGCTCAGAAATGTGTGCCTCAGACTGCATCTGGTGTGAGAAATCAGCTTGTTTAATGGTGAGCTGGGCAGATGTACTGCAGCTATTAGGGTATTTGTACTCCTGAGAGTGGCACTGTGGAATGCTTACTGCTGACACGTTGCTTGAGTGGTTGGCGTGTATTGGGGAAAACGGATTGCATTATTTTGTTGCGGTGTGTGCTGAGTTGTTGTTAACGCATACACGGTCGCAGGTCCATTAGTGAGAGCTGTGCTGGTAATATTAGGTAGGAGTGAGACTCAGTTCTTTATACTCAATAGTGTGTCTATGTGGGTTAAATGTTGTGGGCTAAATAGCTGAAGTACAAGTTTTCCCTGAAGTATAGCAAAAATGAATGGGAATTGGCTTTTTTGGTTAGATCCTGGGTCTATATTGTTTTAAAATAAATTACAGTTCTCTGGATCCACACACATTTTGAAGTCAAAGGAGGAAAACCAAGCTGCTGCTTTGAAGATGTTGTAAGTCAGCAATTATTTTCTTTGCTTTTATTTTTCTTTCATGAGCTGCACTACTTGAAGGAGTACAGTTCTGGTTAATTTCTGAACTCTACAACAGGAAGGTGTTTGATTTTTTTTTATTTGTTGTTTTGAGATGTAGCTTTGGCTTTGTGTGGAGGAAGAAGCTAGCTATTGTTGAGAGGCTGAAGTTATTCCTGGTAAAAATTAATAGATGTAAGGATGAAGCATATGATGCATACATGTGGTGCTTGTTTTCATAATTCACAGGCATTTCTGATCTTGTTTCACTTCTTTCCCACATTCCTTTATGACTGGGATGGCACTGCTGAGTTGCTGAGATTTCATCTGGATTTCAGCATTTGAAGTGTTGAGCTCCAGTTTGTTTGTGAGAATGTGTTCAGATAAGGTGTCTCATAGTGCAACAACTCATAACACTAACAACTAACAGTGCTTAATTTTAATTATTTTTTCCCTGCTTCTATGACTTTAGTTGCATTAAATTGTAGGATGACTTCGCAGCCAGTCTTGTTGCAAATAAGCAAAGAAGGTACTTTGGGCTAATATAACTGGTAATAAATAATTTAGTGATACAGGTAATATATTGGGGTTTAATCATATTGTTGTTGCTAGTCCAAACTATACATCTTTTTATTTGCCACCCCAATTGCAAGAGCTTTATTCTCAGCCGCCTACCAGTTTGTAATTGGTATTTGCATAAAAAAAAATTAAAAGCTGAAGTAACTTTAAGGTATGTGGGGAGTCTTCCTGTTTCAGAGTCCACGATAATTTGTGTTGGAGTAGGGGGCAGCACACTATCGCCCTGTGTGCCTGTACCTTTCTAGTTTCAAGATCCAACTTGACAGGCTTGGTTTCAGCATGAAGTCTTGTGAGAGAGCTGGTGTGAAAGTTTCTCCATGTTTTGAATAAAGCTTTTTCCAGCAGTGATCAAACAGCAAAGGTCTGATGTGGGTTCTCATACTTCCCAAGAAGGTGATGGAGGGTTTTATTATGGACATTAACATAGCAAGACAAATTTTGTTCCCTCTTTTTCCTCCTCTGACCTATGGCTTCATTGTGTGCTAAAGTTGCTACGGGCCTGAGCGGGAGGAGAGGGACAGGACAGAGACCTTCAGTGCATAATGCAGAGAGCTGGAAGTAGGAGCCTATGTGGCCAAAACCTAAATTCTGTGCTTTTGTCTGAGCTGTGGACCCAACTGGTCTGAACTGTTCAGTCTAAGAAGTGGTATGTAAAATGCCATGGAGGGACTGGATAGCACTGAGCAGCAGAAATAATAATAAAAAAAAATCCTATAGTTGAGTGTAGAAAGGTGTATGTGTCACAGGCTCTTGCAGTCTACCATTTCGGTGAGTGTGGTGTTACTTGAGGGGAGTGGGATTAGCTGATGGGAGGTGTGTGGTGCGAACCCTGCCATCTTGTGGCTCTAGTGCTGAGACAGCCAAACTTTATTTTTACAGGTGGTTCGCAAGCCTTTGTGCACACACCTCTGAGCACACTGTTAATTATATATGCTTGCATATAGTCTTGGAAAACCATCTTTAAATTTGAGTCTCTCCTTTTAAAACTGTGTGTTGATTTTACATTAGTCTCGTTTTGCTGAGAAACATTGCTACTGTTTCTTATAAGCAGTACAGTGATTAAAAAAGTAGTGAATGTATTAATGCTTTAACACTTTTGAATCTCGTTCTTAATAATATTTATCCAGTTTTCAGTCTCCTCGGTTTAGTGTTGTAAATTCTGATTTTTTTTTTTTTGGTTTTGCAAAGAGAAGTGTGAAAACTGGATAATGTGATAGTTATTGTCCTGTTGAGCCTGGATCTGTCCATTCCTGTAAAATGTTCATAGTCTGATTAGGAGCATCTAGAGCTTCTGTATGCTATTGCCCTTACTAGAGAAAGTGAGTATCCCAGAGAAAAAGAATCAACTTCAAGGTAGAACAGCTTGTGTTACACATTTAAATGCAGCTGCTTGTGTCATCAAAATGTCAGCAGTCATTTTGATTCCTGAATATGGTTTTCCTTTCCCCTATTTTTGATAGTAGCCAATTGTAGTATTATTTGTGAATAATTTAGTCTGAAATCCAGATTTGTGTTGGCGTCATTACTTGACTTTCCTCATTTGACTTGTTTGCATATACTGTTTTAGGAAATAAACCCCTAGAAACAGACTGCTTTTGTAGACATGAAAACTAATTTGAGTGGTAATTTGAAAAGCTTGTGTGTTTGTTTGCATAAAGAATTTGCAATGCAGTTTCAAAGATGGCACAAACTATTGTATACACAGGATTTGGGTATCTTTTCTCAAATCTGTGGAAGTTTGCCATACTGTGTGATGAGAATGGCACTGCAAAGCAGTTCACTATGCCACAGTTTCTGTTTATGGAGGACTTGGCTTATAGGTAGAGAACATCAATTTTCATTGTCAAGTTGGTCTCTTAATTAGGAATGGGCTGTTTGCAGCCCAGACAGTGGATATTCACAAATTTCTGTGTGGATAAAAGGCAGCAAAGATCATTTACTTGATTCATTTACTGGATTCAATGCAATCGAAAGAGATTTCTGATGGGACGATTTATTTCTTGCTATTAAGATTATGGTGAAGTTAAGACATTTTTACAGTGGCTAGCTAAAGAGCAAACGAGATGCCTTTAGTAAACAGTTTCCCCTTTCCACATATGCCTCTCAGACTTGTTTGACACTCTGAGTTTCCTCTATATTTACGTTTCTACAGCCCAGGCAAAATATTAAGCCATTGTTTTATTAGGTGAAATAGCAAAACTAAGGAGTTGATTGAAATTAGAGTAAATTAAACAAAAACAATGTTTTTGTTGGGTGTGTCTCAAGTTAATTAATGCACCTTGTTTTATTAATCGGCAGTCTACTTTGGAGACATTTTTGGACTTTCTTACTACATTGTCTGATTTTCTTCAGCTATGCAAAACTGCAATCTGATCTTAATGGAGCCCATGTCAAATTTTGAGAGTTTGAAGCAGACTTCAAGTCTAAACAAGCTGTGCCGGCCACAACCATTGGTGAAAAGAAGTATCTGGAGAGTCAAGATGAGAAGTTAAACATTCAAACTGTGCAGGTGAGAAGAAGAAATATTTAACCATCAAGCTTCTGTCAGCAAATGAGTTGTTTTTATATATATATCTCCATATATTTTTATATACATCCATAGTAAGAACTGTCATTCTGGTAAAATGCACCTCTGTAGCAAAAAAATGTTACTAGATTACAGCTTTGTATCCAACTAGAACAAACTGTAGTTCTGTGTCAACACTGGAAGCAGTATTGAGTAGGTGTTTGTGTCTAGTACTGTTCAGTTCATTAATAACATGAGTGGTGGAATAGAGTGCTTTTAAAATTGCAGACTCTAAAATTGCAAGGGATGGTACTTGAAGAAAGCAGGCCAAGAGTCCAAATGAACTTGACCAATTGTAGAACTGTTTTGAGGGAGAGACTGACTTCACAAATATGGGTAGCTGAATTTCTGCCTGTGGTTCTCCATCTTCTGGCCATCTGATTAGAGGGGGGGTGCAGGGCTGGAAAGTCTTGTGATAGTTCTGGTAACCCTTCAAAACACCTGAGTTGTGCTTTTAAGCAACACTACCTCAATAGAGTGAGTTGAGGAGACCAGGAAGCTGGTGTTTGTAGAAAACAAACCTTGTAGAAAGCCTGAAGTTTTGTAAGGAAAATTGATAAGTAGCACCGTAATGCCAGTTAGCAATGTGAGATATCTAGAACTCACTTGTGCAAGTAATAGCAAAAGGGCAGGTATGGGAAATGAGAGAGAAGGAGTAACTGCGCAGCAAACAAGATGCCCAATCTCAGTGCTGATTGGACATTGCTATGTGCATCTCTGCAGCTGCAAGAAAATACCATCCAAAGAGAGAGAAGTGGAAAATTACCAGCACTGCCCCAGAGATCTATATAAGATTTATTGTTCTACTGATAAATGATTCCGCTTGCATCTAAGCTTGAGTCCGTGCCTTCATACACTGCAGGCAGAGGGAGACACATCAGTGGTTAAATATTGGATTTGATTGCCAAGTTCAACCATAACATGTAGTGAACTGTACGCCTAGGTAGCTGAGGTAATTGTGTTATGTGAGTTCTGCTGCATAAAAATTATTGTTGATTCTTTTATTTCTTTTTCTTAAAGCTTAATTTTTCTTTAGCTATTGCCAAGGAAGAGCTTGCAAATGAAAGCTTACTGAAGGTGGATCTTGAAAACCATTGTTAGTCTCTCTGAGGACTTGGAATTCCATAAAAAGATGTGTAAGGAGGTAAATGCTTTAGTCTCAAGAATTGATATTTTTAAAGGGAAGAAGATAACTTGGAGGGTCATTCTAGGGTACTAAGATTTAGGTTGGGAGGGCCCTCAGAAGTAGTCTTGACTGAACTCTCATTCAGAGCAGGGTTTACCTCTATTCTAACTGGAAGATTTCCATTTTTTTTTCCCTAGGAAAAATGATGTTAACTCAGCTCTTGTGATAAAATAGCTTCATGTATCATGCTTCATATTAACTTCTGCCCACAGTATTGCAATATACATGTCTTTTCATAGTAATGAGAAAGTAGGTTAATAATTTCTCACATAATCCCTTTATGAGAAATAAACTGGAAAGGAACATTCAAACAGGCACTATGGACTTGTACTGGTTTTTAATTTCAGAACTTTCTAATAGAATGCTTTTGAATAATGGCAACAGAAATTGATGAATACTTGTTCTTCAGAGCTTTTTCTTGCCACCTTCCCTTTCACTTGTAGTGTTTGAGGCTTTCCAGGCAGAACCTTAGAGCAGTAACAAATGCGCCTAACCGTGCTGTCTTTTGTTCCAGGTACACATTTCCTTGTCAGTTGTATTTTCAGCTTTGTTCATGTTAGAATTCTTTTTTCCAGAGACCATGCATGGGCAAGCATACAAATAAACAGGGAGAATGCAGGTTAGTGAATGTGACTGATTTTTTCATGCTTTCAATTTGTGTGAGCATAGAAGATACATAAAGAAAAGGGTGATATATTTCTAAAATGTAATCATACTGAGGTGTATTTGTTGAAAATGCAGACAACTCAGAAGGAAATGTGACTTCAAATGCTGTTGATATCCTAGCTCTTATTTCAGTAACTGGCTATTGCAAAATAAGGTACTGTGCAGATCAGACTGGGGAAATGGCCCTGTGTTTCTACTGAAAGCTTCAATATCAAATTAATCTAATGCTGATCCACAAGGCTAGCTAAAATCTGCATCACTATATGATCAGTGTGTAGTTTTCTATAACTTGTTTGATCTCATTTACTGAATGTTCCTTAATTTTTCTGTTTTTCTTAGGATATCAGTGAAACAAAGAAATATGAAATTTACTTACATGAGGCTGGTTCTAGTTGTCAAACTGGAAATGAAAATAAACTGACTGAAACCCTTCAGAAAGTAAGAGAACTGTGTGATGCACGAGTGCAGAAGTTCAAAGAGCGGCTTGAGCAGACTTACCGCACCAGAGTGAGAACATCTTTTCATACAGTTGTCTGATGTACTTTGTTTAATGGAAAGATACCCTAATTACTTGAATTTCAGAGGATTTTATTATGGACCTTGGTTTAAAATTGCCATGCTTTTGAATGTGAATTTGCATTTTCAGGTCTCGCTTTGGGAGCAGGCTTAATCCTCAGGAGGTACAATAATATAAGAGTAAGAAGAACTATGTAAGGGTGAACTGTGGGGAAAACGTGATTATTACTGAGATTACTGTGAATTCAAGGAAAGTTCATGTGTTACTATGTATCAATCGTAACAGTCTTGATGATCAATAAAGTGCCCCATATTTTGTATAAAACCTATTTTATAACAGGATTTGAGAAGACAGCATCCTAAATCCTCTGATGCTGTACAAAACTTATGGAAGTTTTGCCACACTCAAGGTCTTCTGCTTTTCAATCTTCTAGAAGGGAGGCATACTTGAGCTGAAATAAGTTATACTTCATAATTTCCTTCTTCCACTGTGATTCAGCATTTCTGTCAGGAGGGATCCTGATGTTTCAACTGAGACTGGTTTCTGGGGCTATACTTGTTACAGTTAGTATTTTAAAAAAGGTGGGATGTTACAGCAGAAAAGTCGAATCAAACTGAATTTATTAGCGTAGTTTTCAGTCTTTTCAGTCTCCATAGTCTTAACAGTGTGCAGTTGCTTATCTTCAGGGCCTCAATCTGACTTGGAAAATCTTATTTAAAAGAAGATCTAGCCAAAAATGTGTTTTACATTATTTCAGTCTAAAAATCCTTTCATAATTGAGGCTTTCTTGTTCCCTCTTCACGTATACTGTTTCTGTATTTTTGGATGCTTATTTTTTAAAAACAAAGTATCTTTAGACTCCATTTCATCTGCAACTACAAGTCCAGTAAGTCTGTGGTACTGCTGAAGTGGATGTGGTAGCGTTCAGAAGGGGTAATGCAGCCAGTTTAAAAAAATTATTTGAACTTGAAGTTGTGGTAGAATGAAGTACTGACCTATGGTACTGGTTCTATAATCTGAAGGCAAACAATCAATTTGCTTATATTGGCTGAAAATTAACATAAATTTGCTTTGCAAATTGGTAATTTCAATGTAGCTTCTATTTAAACATACTCAAAACCAGTGCTACAGTAATTAAATATACAAATCTAAACATTGGCCACCATGAAAACTGAATATAGCAGTCCAAGTTCAGTAATGTCTACAAGGGAAACTTTAGTTTTCAGTCCTAGAATAAATAATTGAGAGTATTGTGATTTCAGGTAAGGTAATCCAGCATGGTAATTGAGCCACCATATTTAACCCCTAAAAAAAGAGGTGTTTCATTGCATTAGAGCTGCAGAGAGGAACTTTGTAGCTTTAGTGTTGTGTGTGGTTTTTAGTGACTCATTTTTCTCTTAATAAAAGTTACTTTGAAGCTGATGTCTTAACTTGATCTATTGACACTTGAGAATGCTAGACTGTCCTCTGAGATGAGCAATCCTGTAGCCAAATCAGTAAGAAAACAATTGACAGCACATTGCATGCAAATTGATGGTCTGTCTTCCATTGTCACCGGCCTGCAGAAAGGGGTAGCAAGCTGTTAGTGACTCTTCCAATTACAGTTGTTGATTTTTATATTGAAGGACTTTGTTTCCTTTAACTTATGATCAGTATCATGTCTTGATTTTGTATTCTAGTCTACTGTTCTGTACTTTAGCAGATTTCTAAACATCTCCTTTCTAGAAAGTTGAATATTTTGTGCAGTATCTTGCTAGAGTGGGTATTTGAAAGGTGGTACTGTTAAATGGCTTTTGTGGAAACTTACTGATTTATGGGACAATTTTAGACAAGAGCTCTGTATTAAAAGTTCCTGACATTCTAAGCAATTTTATTCTAACAGTCTAACATAGGATTCCACAAAGCAACATTCAAAGCCAGAGCTGGAATATGCAGTCTTTCTCTGTTTGGTGTCTTTTGCCGTTTTGATCCAGTTCACATCTAGAACTTTCAAAAAAAAAAAAAAAAAAATCATCCCCACTCCCCCCAAAAAAACCCACCCCAAACCCAACAAAAACAAACAACAAAGAAACAAAACCAACAAACAAACAAAAACAAAACAAAATGGAGTGATCTCACCAGGATTAGGATGAAGTATGAGACTGAGAAAATGCATCAAATAACTGTACTTGACCATTTGTAAAGCAGGGTCTTGAGCAGAAACTAATTATACTTAGATCACAGAGCACATAGATCACACTTGAAGAAATATGAAAGAAGCTATGACAAGCTATCTATTCAGTACTAGCTTATTTGATGGGAGTAATGTCGTGTCTACTGCAGTAGAAAATCTAGAGTGAAAATGAGAAATGTTGGGAGTCGGTTCTGCAGCAAGCTTTTGTAACTTACTAATGAGTTGAAAATTCAAGAATTTTTTTTTTTAAATATAAAATATTAGTAACGCTTGGCTTTGATCCTTTCTGTAATACATTTTGAATTATATTCCTCCCGTACAGCAGTATCTTGTAGGACTTAAAATTCTGCATATTTCAAGTGAAGAACATAAATGCAGAGAATGTTATTTTATAATGTTCCAAGTAACTTAGCGTGTACGAGTGTGAGTTTTCCCAGTTTTCCTGTTACATAGGCAAGTTAGTCTCTGGAATAGATTAGGTCATATAATGAAGACTTGGATTTAGAGTTTTGTCTACTTAAATCTTATTTCTGCCTTTATTACTGTCATTTTTCTTTTGATGGTTCAGTCAACAGGCGTTTCTGAGAGGTTTTTTCCTTCTTACCTTACTTGTGTTCTGTTGCTTATTTAGGAGTGACAGCTAGGTTCAGAAAACTTGCTTCTTAATTTGCAGAGGTGTTGGTTGTTAACTTCAAGGCTGTCAAAATCAACTTCTACCAGTTTGGCTGTAATTGTCCACCAAAAAAACACATTTCGCTGCTGTGGGGTGTTTTTTTTAGTGCTAGTGATGTCAACCAGTAGAGTTTTGTTTTCTATTTGCTAGCACTATCGTTGATGCTGGTATGAGTTACCAATCAGTCATTTAAAAAAAACCTCAAGAGACTATCAAACAGAAGAAAGCATTCTCAGGGAAAGTTAAACCATAAAGTTGTCATCATTTGGCCTTTCTTTGATCAGCATTCCATTCTGTATGTACAATATTAAGTTCTGCTGGCTTGATGTATTTTTTAAAGTATGTGACAAATTAGCTTTCTCCATGGAACACTTACCACTGTACTTTCAGCAAGCCTTGAAGGCTTTGATAGCAGGCAGACAGGCTTTCACTGACAACCCCTATTCCTTTAGAGGAACTTCCTCCCAGAATTCAGAATTGGCAGTAGTAAACTGAAGCAGGGACTACACATCTGAAAGCTAAAGAGCCATTATTTACCACAGGATCTCAAATATACTGATCTGCACTTTGGTTCTGTGTCCAGTCCAGCATGTCTTAAACAATTTGACTCTTAAGCTCAGTTTTTCTCAGCTGAGTAAATTCGGGTGTAGTAACATACTTTCAGATCTCAGAAAAATGGGGTAGGTATTGTTTTTCAAAATATGTTGTAAGTTTCAGTGGAATTTAAGGTATTATGTTTGTAGTAGATGAGGTGGAGAACAAGAAGTTGAATATGGGCAAATTTGAATTCAGAAAGGGGAGAAAATGCTTAACTAGTATTTTGTTTTCCATATTGTCCAAATAGCAGAGTGCATTCAGGTTTGGATGAGCTTTCCTTTGCACCAGTGACACTTTCAATGCTTTCTAGGCTAGAGTATGGCAAGATAAAGTGCACAAGCTTGAGACTCACTTGGCTAAGGAACAGGAAAAGTATTTCAAAATGCTGTGGAAGAACAAGAAGGGAGTCTCAGAGGTGAAAGCCCAGATGCAGGAGCAGCTGAGTAGCCAACAAAACCTCATGGATGTTAAACTGGCACGTGATGTGGAAATCAGTGCATACCAGAAATTACTGGAGGCTGACAAGGAGAGGTATGAAAGAATGTAGCAACAAATGCTGGTATCTGTGCTCCCCTTGCTTGTCTCGTTCTCTGTTAAAAGGCAGTTCTTACTGGGAATGCATTAAGTGCTTCACTACAGTTTGCAGGGCACTGTTTGGTTTTGCCATCTCCTGTCTGACACACTTCTAAGTCTCCATGAGACCAGCCTGCTTGAGTATCAGACCAATAGCTCTCAAGGGAACAAATACCATTCTTCTATTAAGATTCAGCACGGAGGGTGCAGTGAATTGTCATTTCTAGTTCTATTTGGTACCATGGTTAATATTCTTTTTCAGACTTATTTACAGGGTTATTTAATTGTTAGCCAAATTTCTTTAAGTACGGAATAATTTTAATAAAGTAATAGCTGTTACAATTGCCACCTTATCAGCTAGCTGCATCTTCCACATCTGATCTCAGAGTTCAGCAATACTGAGAATTTTTACCTGATAAGTCACAGGTGTCGCTTAATGTAGCTTGATACTTCGGTGTCTTCTGAATAACATCCTACTGGTCCAGGCTCATTTCTCAAGCGTGGGGATAGAACAGCAAAAGCTCTTGAGCCATTGGGTTTTTGCATACATTTCCTACAGTGTCTTAAGTCCCCCTAAAAATTTTTTCTTGTTTCATCTACACAGGAAACGAAGTCTTTAACAAATGCATAGAGATGCCTTTATGATCTTAATGTAGTAGTCCACCAGTATTCTATGCTGCAAAAGCATTATTGATAACATTGTGTACAATTCTTCAAAAAGTACCTAAGGCTTCACTTTTTCATGTCACATGCTTTCTTTACTATATTCCTGTACCATTTTGCTGTATAATTCTATGGGAAGAGGAGAAAGGAGGAAAGTTTATTAAAAAAAGGTGGGAAAAGAAAAATCAAAGCATGATGTAGGCATGTTTCTTTCTTCCTTCAATATAGGTTGAAAATTGCTCCGAACCCATCTGCCCAAGTGGCAGAGTCACAGACTTCATCGAGCTGTGCTGTGCGTACAGAGGGGAGAGGGTTGACATGGAGCAGTCTGAAACCAGAAGTGATGTTAACATTTTTCACTCAGCTTCTGCCACTGGAAATCTTTCTATTGAGGAGATAGACATTGATGGAAAATTCATCCACTTGAAGAACACCTCTTGACAAATTTGAAAATGTACACATCATGACTTTAAAATGGGCTGATTAGAGATGGAAGGGCATCCTCAGCACCCTCATGAAGCTTCATGTTGACCCTGGAGCTAAAGCACACTGTGTAAGAGATGGCATTAAAACTAGTGTGTCACAAAATAAGTTTTCATACAGTATTACGCATTGATGATGACTTATTCCTAATGATTTTTAATGCTTTTCCTAGCAAGTGTTTCATTCGTAAGTTGCCCACCCACCAAAGTGTTACATCACTCTGAAGAGTTCTGCCTTGCAAGTGATCTGACTGCAAAGCTTTACACATAACATTGTCACTGATAGGAAATAGCGCAAGCAGACATTAGGCTACTTTGAGAAGCCTTTTAAGAACTTTCTTTGACTTAAAAATCCCCAAAAGAAATACATACGGAAGCAAAATAAATGTCTAAATGTAACTAATTGCCTGTGTCCCTTGTACTTGCATATAGCTTCTCTAAATCATAGTTTTCTTTATTCATTGTTTGCATTCATGGTTTTTAGGAGCCCTCAGTTCCCATGCCAGACACCTTTATGATGGCTGCTCAGATTACTTCATTCTATGAATAGGTTAGAGTTTGAGGGGAACACGCATATCTGTTTATCAGAGAGCACTCATTTGAGTAATAAATAATAAAAACTTCTTTCCTTATTTTGCCCACAGAATGATGCTAACTGTCATATTCAGTACATTTCTTTTCCCACCTCCCCAACATTTGTTAAGCAGAAATGACAAGGAGAAAAAGTACTATGCTATATAAAGTTCTGTGGGCCATCACAGGAGGGGTTGGAGAGTGAGTACTATAATTTCTTAAAGCCTTTGGGAGAAGAGAGAATTAAGCATTGTCTGATTAGGATACCAGCATTACAAGATTGGATTTCCTGCAGCCTTGATTTCAGAGAAGGTCTAAGTAATTCTTGCCTTCTGTGCTGTCTGTGCCTCATCTGTGTGAAATAGATTAGCTGCATTTTGTTTCCAGTGACACAAAGGCTTTGTCTAATGTCATCAGATCCTTTACCTTCACCGAAAGGCAGTTTATCTTGATTTTTAGATTACAAAGATTGGTCTGGTTGCAAGTGTCTCAGTCTCCTAATCAATGAGGAGACGGACAGACTCTTCCAGATGGTGATATATATGTATCTTAATTACATTCCTGGGGTGTTGGCTGAGAGTGCTAACTTTATTTACTGAATGGAAGAAACCTTGACCTGTCTTGGTCTAGACAGCTAAGCGTTTAAATTCAGGCAAATCAGACTACTTCTAGTGAGTAAGGACCTGCCATTTTTTTCCTTTTAGTTTTTTCAAGTTTGTGGGATTTCCCCCCGCCTTTGTGTACCACATGGGTTTCCTTGCCTTTTAATTTAACTATACATTAATCCTTCCATGGAAGGACTATCAGTTCTGGTGCCAGTAGCTGTGGATGGTTTATGGTTATAGCATAGACAGTAGCATTTTGCCAGAGCAGCTCTTTGTAATCCAGTGTAATAAGCTGTACTTGGGGAATTTTCACAAGTGTTTGATAGTTTATATATACAAATATATAATATATAAAATCCTCTTTAAGTATGGTATGTTTTGTTACAATGACCAACTGAATGTCAGCATCCATTAAGATAAATAAGATTGTTTATTTTCGATTATCTTAACTGGCTGTTTTCAGACTCCAGTGGCAAGTGCTTAATGTTTGGAAACTGTTGGTGGGAGAACTTAAAAAAAGATATACTCTTGTTTTGAAATAGTTATTCTGTAATGATGACTTGTTTGTGTTTTTCTACTAGATTTGCTAGTGCTTTTCAAGTAGTTGATAGGCAAAAAATAACTGAAAGGGGGAAATAATGTAGGTCTTGCAAAGGAGTGTGTAGCAGGAGGTGTACATATGTAGAAACATTTTAAGATGGCTGACAGGAATGTTTTGTTTAAGAAGCCTGCTTATTATTCTGTACTTCAAAAATGTATTATATTTATAAGGGAATTTTAATATTTATGTATTTTTCTGGGCCAAGTCATCAACTGATGCAAATTATAAACATTAGTCAATATAACATCAGAACTGAAAAGCAGGATGTATTAAGCTTTAACTTGAAATAAGAGGTAAGACAAATTTAACTAAAATTATTCTAATTGCATGCTGAAGATCAAGTGACAGTAAATGTTTCTACTGAAAATCTAATGTGCCTTACAGCCTTATGTGTAGAATAGCCTGCATGTATAACAGAAAATCACTGCTGATAGAATTTTTTTCTCCTTTTTAGTAGGATCAACATGTGGGAGGTTGGGAGATGACACAGAAAATAGGAAACACTTCTGCTAGTTACAAATATGCCTCAAGATATATACTAAAGGCAAGCCAAATGGTTACAGTAAGTTGTCAAGCTTCAGCTGTTCAGTTGAAATGGACTTTAGGCCAACTTGCATGTGTCAGTAAGATGCAAGGTTTTTAGTTTTGTTATTTATGTGTACATGTTCAAAAAATAATCAGCTGTATTCATATTGGGCATTAGTTGTATCATTTGCTGGGAGGAAGTTGGACAGAGCTGCATTTTTCAGAAACTTACTTTCTATATGGATCAATAATTTTGACCACAAACAGGTATGTTTACATATTCAAAAGTCTCTGCATTAAAAAACATAGCGGTGTTTTGTAGTAAGAAAATTTTTCTTATTTGGAGGAGATCACCGGTGTCACTTAAATGGTATACATTAACTCAATAAATAACATGGAAATGTATATTATTAGCAAATAATGTCACATATGACTTCTTTTAATACATCTGGGCTGCAAATGCTGGAGTAACTTCTAGCCCTCCCATTGACCTCATCTAGAAGAACCAGAATTCTTGGGGCACTGGTAAAGATGTGAAAGTTGTACTGAAAAATTCTCAGGGAGAGATAAAGTACCTAGATGTGTTTAAACTTACTTTCTGTGTTGCCATCTCTTATAAACATGCTGATAGGACTTTACACGTGAATGCACATCAGTGTTACGTAAAGTTTTCTCCTTTTGCTTTCCAACCAAGTATACTGTACCCCTGTCTGTCTCGCTTGCAATTTAGGAATGCAACGTATTGAAGTGTGTGAATTTTTTTCCCTATGTTGACTACAAGTAGTAGAAGAGTGACTTGTTCAGACACTGCCCTTATACTAGGAATTAGGCAGTGCCTTAGAATATGCTTTGAGAAGAAAAGGTTTTAGTTAACTCTTCAATGATTTGTCTCTTAAATTAGATTTCCTTAAGTGTCTGTTTTGCCAGGGTGCTGAGGAATGTTATACTGAAACTCACTTTAAGCAATGAGTTATTAATTCTAGTAAGATGCGAGTTAAAACTCAGGGTAGGAGAGTTGCTATGGTGTCTTTCATTTGAAAGAAAACACTTAAATGTATTAAATAGCAAGTTTTGGAAGAACTTGAGTGTCTCATTAGAAAGACTTTTTAATCATTAAGGGATTTAATACTAAAGTGTTATGAATGCTGTTTATGCACAGCAGTACATGAAAAGTATATAGACAAAATCATTACAAGTAGCTTTCCTAGCAGCTGGAACTCCCGTTTCTCGATTTTAGTAAATTAGCACCAGATCTTTAGAGGAGCCAAGTCTTAAAAATAAAACTCTGTTGCAGGAGGTTGCTCAGGGGAAGCACTGTCTTTAAAACAACCAGACATGAAAGGGAAGAGCAGGAAGTAGAGGAGGAACCAGATGAAGTTAAGGAGGAAGACCATCATGCACAGGTATCTTGTTTTAGGTTAAGGATTTTAGGTTGAAAAACAGACTTAAGTAATGAATTTTGAGAAAAATACCATGCATATCTTGGTGTGGGTGTTCTTCTATTTTTTTGTTTAATCAGTAATTTAATGAAAGCATGAAGCTGTGTTAATAAAGCTGGTATAAAAATATTGCTTCATGTATTCCCTTGATGGAAAGTAGTAGGTGTTTCTTAAGACTTTAAAGCAAAGATTTGGGCATTCTTTTTTTCTTAAACTCTCTTCCTGATAGGATTTCCTGCAAGCCAGTTGTTTATGCTTAAGTTTGGCTTAAGCCAGGTACACCTAAATTTACCCGAAGTTTTGAGAACTTAAATATCTCATTTTCTCTGATAAAGAAATTGGGAGATTTAAAGATGCCATTAGAGGAAAATCTCATATGCTGAAGAAATGCAACTCTGAAGGAAGTATAACGGTGAGAACTTTCAGTGACAATATAAAATGTTTTGAGATGTAATGGAAGATACTGAGATAGAATGTGAACAACCAAATGTGCTCTGAGTTTTATCCATTGCCTTACTGTTTTGACCAGTTCTTTTTTCTTAAAGTAACAAACATAAGTTCCTGTAAGGCAATGTTCAAGTTTGCTGCTTTGTCTAAAACTTTTCTACATTTCACTTAGTATTTATCTTAAAGTCAGAAGAGGTAATATAGAATAGTAATGGAGCGCGTACGTAAACAGACAAATTGAGAGAGTTGGCTGTGTTGGAAATTGTGTTTTTTTGGCCTGTAACTGTGGCATTTAATAAAGAGTCAGGTTTTTGTTGCAGTTATGCAAAAGTACTGAAGTGCATCCAGCTGCTGTTGTGGTTTCTGGGGTTGTGTAGTTCAGCTAAAGTGCATGTATTAATAGTTTTGCTTACAAAAACGCTATAGAGAGATTAGATTTATTCAGATAAAAACTGTCAAAGTATTTGTATATGCACCCTGCAATATTCACCACCTGTCTAACCTCAGTGATGCTTTTTGACTTGAGATTCAAATGCAATAATTATTTAAGTTGTGTTTTACTGGCATCTGTCCTCTGTTACCTCTCATAGGAAAGGACGTCTAGCATTCTTTTCCTTAAAGGGGATAACATGTAGTACAGCTTTATGTTCTGACTCTTGCTTAGACCATGGCAGGCTAATCATTCCATATACTAAAAACATACAGCACATTACTTTAAGTTGCTAAATATTTTACTGCTGGATTTTTTTTCAGAGATGATTGTTTTTGTTCATAACAGGCAGGCCCAAGAACATCTTCTGGAGACTGTGTGTTCATGTAAACTTCCAGCCAGGTTCCTCAGATAATGGTAGTCCTTGCCTATGGAAGCACAATGCCTTCCAGAAGCACAGTGTATTTTTCTATTTTCTGTATGTGAATTTTCAAGCTGCAAGTCCCATGGCCTTAGTTTCCTTTGCCACTGAAAGGAAAGTTTTGTAAAAGAAGTATCTAACTTTCTCACAGGATGTGAATTGTTGACTGAACAATGTGCTGTTTGAAAAATTATGTCCTTGTCACCCAGGTCTATATGCAAGTCTCTTTTTATTGACACCTACCTAGAATATTTCTATTCCACCGTGTTTTGGAGGTTGATTTTCTTAGATAACAGTACTCCAGACTAGTCAGTTGCACTTGGCCTATTTATATTTAGGTGCTGCTGGGGAAGGTGTTTAACTCTTTTATACTGGAGACTTTCCTACAGCTCAATCAAGACTGTAAAACTGTTTTCTATAGAAAAGAACAGCATTGTTAAATTAAAAACAAAACAAAACAAAAACAAACAAAAAAACCCCAACAAAACCAACAAAAAAAAAAACCACTTTAAAAAAGCAGCAAACAAAACAAATGAAATGTCCTGGGTTGAGTGAGTGGTGGAGTTTTTTGGTGGCAGGGGAGGGGGCTATCGGGGCGGCCCCCTGTGAGAAGCTTCTCGAAGCTCCCCCAGCTCCACGTCAGCTCCACTTCTGTTTGGGAAATTGAGCCAATCGGCTGCGCCTCTGCGATAACGTATTTAAGAAGGGACGTGGTGACGGGCAGTGGGACTTGTGAGGAGGAGTTGCTGCAGCTGCATGAACACCAAGGTCAGTGGAGGAACGGAGGAAGAAAGGAGGGGGGAGGTGTGCCGGAGCAGAGACCCTCCTGTATCCTGTGGTGAGACGGCAGGGCGGCCCCCCCTGCCACCCATGAAGATCTTCGGTGGAGCAGACATTGATTTACAGCCTGTTGTTCCTGCTCGGATGATCAAGGTGCTGTGCCCGAAGAAGGCCGGGGTCTCATGGGAAAAGGTAGCCCCGCTGCTGTAATTCAGTGCTGGGAGGATTGCAGCATGCGGGGGAGTCCCACGCTGGAGCAGCTCGGGAAGGGCTGCAGCCGTGGGAGGGAATCCAGTCGGAGGAAGTTAGTGACCCATGACGGAGCAGTGTGGGGAACGCTGCGGCCCATGGGAGGAATTCAAGTCAGAGAAAGTTTGTGGAGGACTGTCTCCTGTGAGAGGGGGACCACGATGGAGCAGAGGGTAACAAGTTTTGGACACTCCCCTCACCGAAGATGAAGGAAGTGGCAGCACTGACTGCACCCCCCATTCCCTGCCCCTGCGCCACTGGGGGAGGAGGTAGAGATATCGGGAGCAGAACTGAGGCCGGGAAGAAGGGAGGGGTGGGGGGAATGTGTTCTCAAGATGTGGCAATGCTTCTCACTGTCCTACTCTGTTATGTGTTGTTAGTGTCTGTAATAAATGTATGTTCTTTTTTTCTTCCCCTAACGAGTCTGCCTTTTGCTCGTGATCATAAAAGGGGGATTTTTCCCCATCCCAGTCCTATCTTGAACCCCAAGCCTGGCTCTCTGTCCCTTCTCATTGCCGGAGGGGAAGGGAGAGAGAGGTGCTGCATTGTGGTTGGCTGTCAATCAGGCCCAAACCACGACATGAAAATATAACAAACCAACGCACACATAAAAAAACATAGTACAGCTGATCACGTAAGCACTCAGAGGATGAAGGATGCAGTAAAAGTCCTTATTGATACTACTCCTTTTTCTTTTAGATTGCTTATGCTGGAGGAGGATTAGTGTTTAACGTGTTTGTTGTGTTAAGATTGTGTAACCAGTTTAAAGTTTCTTACATGATTTTTTTTAACAAATAGAAAGCTGTTTCAATACAGATTGTCTTGTTTACACTTTGTAGGAACAAATGAAGTCTTTTAGGGGTCAATCTACACTTGTATGGAAAACAGTTGTAATTTTGACGATGTGGAAAGTTTTTCTGTCCTTTCTGCATTCATCTAATGTTAAAGCTTTGAATAAAGTCTCTTTAAGATCTTATCAAGGAAAGCTTTTGGAATTTTCTCACTAGAACTGAGCTAAAAGTTGCATGAGTGGTAAATACTTAGAACTGATAGGCTTTGAAGCTGGCGAAACGTCCATGTAAATGGAACAGGGGCAATTGACTTGTAAAGATTTGTTTGGAAAATTAATTCTTTAGAGCTTTATTCAAACTCTTCCATAACTGTTTCTGCTTCTTTGCTCATATGTTGGTTCTTACTGGGCTGTAAGAACTACATCATACATGCATGAATTTACTATAAGCTGAGCAGTTTAAGCATGGCACAATAGCAAAAATAGAAATTTAGAAATACTGTAAATAGTTAACTTCATCTTAGTCTGGATGTATTTTTAAATGCATGGCCAGAATTTTGGAAGTTGATTTGGAGCTTTTTCTAGCAATAGCCTCATGATAAATTTAAGACTTTTCAACATGTCTTTCATCTTGGGTAAGTTCTCTTTTCAGGTGAAGTACATGGTGGCATTTCAACTTTGTGCCAGCAGAAGGTGGTGTTAGGGAAGTGGGTGGCCAGTGTTTATGCAGATCTGTGAGGATTAAGGGGGCTGCTTTTTTTGACAGTAATGCTGGCTTTAAACAACTTTATTAAACCACAATGTAATACTTGATTTAATTTCTCCATTATATTTGAATCTTTACATAGTATAAATACCTTAGTGTCTTTTTAAGCATTACTCTGTATCCCATAACATTCTGAATATCCCTCAATTTGATCTTTAGGAATAATGGCTTTCTAATCACTGTAGTCTCAGATATCTGTAGGCATACACCATATAAATGAATAAGTAGGAAATGGCTAATTCCATTCCTTGTGTATTGTTTTCAAAACTAGTAGCACAGGCTAGCAATTTATTCCAGTAGAGACTTGATTGGGCAAGTTAGATAGGACTGCTAATCTCTCCAATCAGCAGTAAACAAAAATACTTTGCATGTAGGCATTGATTACCTAATTCTTAATAGGAACCTGCCAGTATAATCGAGCATTCTTGGTTATAGCGTTTGTAGACAATGTTTTTGTCACCAAGATGATGAAGTGCTCTGTCTTGCCTGAATGTGTAGCTAGGACCTGTTGCTTGAAACTAATTTTCTTTATAAAGAGAGTCTTGTGAGTATTCTGGTAAATCAGCACTCTTATGATGGATAGCAATGGGAGAAATACTGCTTTTATAAAAAGTATTTTGCTGTTATATGTATTTCTGTAAACTAGCATAAAGAGTGTTGAGAAACCAGTGACCCTTCTGGGGAGTGTGGGTGCATGTGTGCTCACTCTAACCTTTAGAGTGAAACATCCTACCACCAGGTGGAGATCGTGCTGTTCAAATGTTAAAAAAAAAACCAACCAACCAACCAAACAACACAAAACTTCCTATACTTCCCTGTGGGTTCCATAATAACTTTTGAAAGCTTCTGCTTTATTGAACAGAACATACTCTGTTCTACTTCTTCCCCATCTTCCCATACTGAAGTCCACAAGTGCATTTTGATTACTGCAAGGTAGGGTGGACCTTCCATTGCTGTACTGAAAAACACCCGCCTCAAGCTTATGGAGGGATATGCTTTGTGCCACTGTATGCAGCAAATACAAATTTTTATGGCACTGCTAATTTTTTCTGTCACACAATGTCTGAGAGCTCTTGTTCCTGTTAGCTTGGAGCTGCATTCAGAATATACCACCTCAGCTGTTAAGGTTACTGCCATAACTTACACCACTCTGGCTAAGTGAAGGCATACTGATGGATTTTTGGTAAAGGTAGATCACTGAAAAATGAGCTAATTGTCTACATGCAATGTTATGTGAAATGTGTTCATGTTTTCTGGAGGTGGTTAGTCAGGTAATGAGCCAGAGAAGCAAATAATATCTTTGTTAGCTCTGTAGACGTGTTCAACTTGTGATTAAAATTTTGGTAGGTCTTTTTACTACTACTGTTGTAGTAATATGTAAGGATTGTTTTTAGGTATGTTCAGTCCTTTCTAAATTTGGCAACAGACATGGAGTATCATCTGATACTGAACTGTTACTCAGTTGACAAGAGATACAAATTGTATTATGCTGGCAGGTGAAAACTGTTCAGTAACTTACTGTTTGCAACTAGAAAAGCACTTCACCAGAATTGTATCTGCTCAAATACATTAATTCCTGTGGAAACTGGAATAAGAATCTGTTTAGGAAACAAGTGGTTTGACTTGTACAGCACTAGTACTGTATGATGAACGCTCCTGAGGCAAGGTATACATTCCTGTCAGCTGGTCCTGTTTCTGTAGAATCTTGATTTTTGGGTCTGTTCACAGGAAAAGCAGCGAACCTGTAAACTGCATTCCTTGTTTATAATGGACAAGTTCATTAATAAACCCCAGTGTAATCAGTCATAGTACTGTGGTACAAATTATTGCACACAGTGTAGTCAACTGTAGCTCTGCAACAAATTGTCTTATGCCTCTGACTTCTCCTGACTTCTTTATCCCTGCTGCATATACCTACATCATATTTGCCCAAGCAGACAGCAAAATATTGAAAGATAAACGAATATGTAAATACCATTTCTGTTCAATAGGTGCTAATTATTATTTAGTCTGCTTCTGTAATAGTGATTTTAAGTGTTTGTCTTAAATTTTCATGGATAAATTTTAACTGTCTTACCAGTGTATTGTTTTGATAGTAATTTGAGGGTTTCTAGAGTGAAAAGGGTGTTTTATGGGGAAACTCCAAATCTGTGAAACTAGTGTCTTTTATATTCATACTGCACTGTAAGCAGTATAGGTTCTTCTAGTAGAAAAAAATACTGCTGCTTTTGCAGAAATGGTCACATTGTAATTGACTATGAAGTATTTTCTCCAGGCAAAGAAAGTAAATAGCTGATGGGGAATAAAAGCTTTTAAAGCTCTTGTCCCAAATAGGGCAACTAGTACTAACTGGTGATTTTTATAAAGTGAATGGAGGCTATATATCATGGATATGAATGCTTATTTATCCTTTCCTGGTATACGATGGTTAACCTCAAGGAAACACTGAGACACTTCTTAACCTTACTTTAATTTCTGTCTTTGTTGTTTTATGTAATGCGATAGACTAGTCTTGCAGAGAAAGGGCTATGCAGAAGTGGTAAAACTTCCTCACTTTGCACTCATCAATACTGAATTGTAGTGGACTGTGTGGCTTTAACTCTATACACTTAGGCTGGGAATCTCAGTCATCGGTAAGCAGGATGTGAAAGGAAGGAACAAAACTGTATTATGTCAGCAGCCTTTTAGAAGGTTTTTATGGGATGGCTTAAGTTGCTGCTGCTTTTATCACTTGCAGCTCAAAATACTGCTTGAAGACTTGAATTCTGCTTCTATGTAACTCCTTGACTGGAAAAGGAATGTGAACAGCAAGGCCAGCTTAGTGAGCACAATGTTGCTGAGAAGGAAACTAAGTGACATTATTTAAAAAAAAAAAAAAAAAAAAAAAAAAAAAGACCTCTCCCATCCTTTCATTAGTTAACTTTTATTTTTGCTTAACTGGGAACTCTTCAAGTATAGCATAACAAAGATGTCATTGTACTGCCAGGGGTGTTGCTAGCTGTAGCTATTGCTGCAGGTAATTCTGTCTTTCACATCTATTCAGATGAAAATGAATATTGCTGCTGTTGTAGAATATTTGCTTCAGTAAGAATATTTGTAGTATATGTGATCCAGTTTTAAAATTGTTAATCAAAATTCGGACTTGGTGTGGAAACAACAGCCTCAGCTAGTGGAAGAAAAGGCAACATGTGTCAGGAGGAGCCTGCTGTCTGTAAGTCTTTAGTTCAGAACAGAAGTGGGAATAAGAATTATCATCACCCATCTTCCTGTTCTTAAGCTTAGGGAAAACACGGTAGAGCATTAAGTATGCTTTATTCCATGGGTTTAATGCAAAAGGATAAGTGTGTGACCGGATCTTTTCTGATCTTTTCTGGCACTTCTTTCTCAAGAAAATGCATGGGACACTATTGTTAGTGACTTCAGTCAGTTTTGCTGTAGTTCTGCATCAAGCAGAGAAACTAGAGTAGTAATATATTTGCTAAACCAGACCTTGCTTTCTGACTGCTTCAGTATGCCTTCTTCAGATTAAATAAGATGGTTTTAAACAAAAAATGAAACTTGAAATTACACAGACGAGCTAGGCCAAGTGACTATGCTGATCTGTGTGCATATATCCTGCAGCTTGGTCTGAATAATTGTTTTCCTAGTTGCTACTTAATTCCCTATCATCCTAGTTTTTTGTTTCATGAAACAAAACAAAAAATAGCACTTAAGAATAGTAACACTTTTTTCACATGCCAACTTTCTGGGGTATCTCCCAAAGAAGCAAAAGTAGTAACAGAATTCTGAAGAAAGCTTACCTAAAGCAAATGTGTAGGCATTAAAACACTGTCTGGCAGTGTCCTGTACCCAGCTAGCCTTGATTTATTTCTGCACCCCTGGCTAGCAGGTTTTCTCTTAACCTGGAACTCTCTGCTTACATCCATGTTCAGTCTTCTATCTGGATAGTTAGTTGCCTTTGGGAAGAGGGTTTTTATAAAAAAAAAAAAAAAAAAAAAAAAGCATTACAGGTTTTAGGCCATCACAGAGTTTGATACCCATGTCTTCAGAATCTTGTATAGTTTTCTGTGGAAGAGAAGCCCTGCCAGATATATGACAACCCCCTGAACTTACCGTCAGACTCATGAGTATGGATCTGCAGATTTGTGATTTTCTTACACATCCTGGCTTGCTGTGGAAATTAGTTTTATGTCTGAATGAGATTGTTATTGCTTTGTATAGGTAGTTGATTCTTATATCCCCATGAAACTGACAGTTACAAAGAATATTGTTAAACAACATGACTCCAGCTAGACTGATCTAAAGACAGAATAAAGAAGCTAAAAGGTTTGGGTTTGTGTACTAAGCTTTTTCCTCCCATAGATTAGCTGTGGTGGTTGGTTGCTGATCAGGCCCAAACCACAACAATACACAATGTCAACTAAACTCTTGTCTGATGGCAAACACCCATAAAACCTTGAACCATCTGAATTATAAATTATTAGTCTTCTTAATAGATGTTCCTTTTTATTTTCAGTTCCTGCAGAGTTTGGAAAACATGATGGCATTGCCATCTATGCACATTTCTAAAAAACTCATCTATTCAACGGGGACTATATATCAATTTCTAATTCTAGCAGTGTTGTTAATGAAATTTTATGTAGTTCTGTAAAATAAGTCTTTCTACCTAAGTGTGTATCTCTTCTGAGAGTGAAGGACTGCTGAATGAATTGGGCATAAAACCAAGGGGAAACAGATCATGTCACCCAGGAATAAAGTCTAGTCTTTACACTCCAAATTCAGTTTGGTCACCATAGTAGGCTACGTATTATATTTTTTTAAAAAGAGACTTAGTCTAAGTGCTACAATGAGAGGTCAGGATTTAAATATAGTCTGCTAAATCTACCTGTCAAGCTGAAAATGCTAAGTTTTATGCAAGACAAGTTCCTGCTTCCTAAAATATGTCTAATGATCTCATTCATTATGTATGCAGAGCTTTCCTTACAAAAATAAGTCTTACAATTAGTGTTAAATTCAGCCTGGTGCAAATGCAGAGTAAATTGGCTAAGTCTGAATTCACACCAGCAGAATGTGCACTTTGGTGCATAACGTTGTGCCTAATTTGTTGCTTCTGAGTGGAAAAAGTACTTTTTTTTTTTTTTTTTATTCTCCTGAGTGCTACATAATAGAATATTTTTGAGTAGGAAGATTATTGCAGTTGGTATAATTTCTTTCTTTTGCACACGCTAAATTTATTACTGAGGAATTTTCCTATTGGAATTTTACTGCCAAATAGGCAACTGAGAAGATAATTTTCTGATCACTTTATAGCATTTAAATAATATGCCAATTTGTGGAATTCATTAGAAATTTCAATAACTCAAAATACTGGTATAAAGGACCTTCAATAAAATCAACTGGGGGAATATCATTGCTGTGCTTTAGGAAAGAAAAACCAGCACTGGTTACTGTCTAGCTACCTAAAGAAATAATACCATAGGAGAAAGAAATTATGAAAACAAAGCACTTCTTAAAACCTGTTTTTCATTGTTAATTATCATAGTTTAATATTTTAAACAATAAAAAAAATTGCATCACTTGATGATGTGGGTAGTAACATGAGTTTGTAGAATTCCATACAGTATCTGCTAAATAAATAAGTTTGGCAGCTTAGCAAGTATCTTATGATTGCAGCATCCATGATTTGAATTCAAACAGTGATTTATTCCTCTGCAGAGTTTGTAAATCAGAATAGCATACTCCTGGTGTCTGACCCCAATGAGTTTGAGGAAGATATTTTTAGTGCGTGGCCACTGTGCAGAACTGCTCAAATCAAACGATTGTCTCCTTTGAGTTCCTTTTCAGGGACTGCAGTCCCAGCAGGGACTGCTGGTTGGAGGGGACGTTGGCAGACTTTGGGATTAGGAGTATCACCTGCTGATTGGTCCGACGCCATTCGTTGTATAACCTACAGTGATATCTAAACGATACCTGGGGAGAGAAGAGAGATGCACTGTGTTTAGAGTCACCGTGGTCCTCCAAGGAATCAGTTGGGGTTTCGGGGGAAACACCTTCAAGTGGAAGAAAAAGCTGATAAGCAGCCTAGCTGGGTGGGATAAAAATGAGCAAAAAGTGGCACGCAAAGATGAGATCTACCATGTAGATGGCTTCTTCCCCACGTTGCCACAGCAGAGAAGAAAAGCAGATGGTGCCCTACTTTGTGCTGTTGTCTACCTCTCATTCCCTTTTTATAACATGAGAGATCAGACATTCTGCCTCTGTCTTTCCCAAGAACTAGAATTACTGGCAGCTGCTTACAGTGAGAATGAGTTTGGGTTATTATCATGCTGCAAGTAGTTAAACTGACAAATAATGTGACTGACTGGATGGTGAAGGCTTGCAGGTATCTAAACTCTGTGTGAACACTGTTAGGGACTTACGTTCTATCTTGTAATGCTTTATTGCTGAATGTATCGAATTCAGGATTGCATAGACACAAGGTGAGTGTGAGCCATCTGCCAACGTGTGTATCTCAATTTAGATTATATTTTAATTTTTTTCATTGTTATCAGCTAATCAGTTTCAGCCTTAGTGTGGTTCTCCTAAAAATGACTGACTTCTATGGACATACAAAATAACTTGGCCTTGTATTTTTTTAAAAAATAGTTTACTGCTTGTTATAGTGACAGCCAAGTGTAGTGAGAGTTATGTTTGTGTAAGATGATCTACACGTGCAGTTTTTAAAAAAGAAGACCCCCAAAAACCTGTAAACTGGCTTGGGAACTTTTGGGTGAAATGTACCACATGACATCTATCATGTTCTTGAGTTGTGGACAGGAGACACCCAGCGAGCACAGAAGGAACCTTGTCTTGTTAGCTGTTCTGCCTTCATGTGCAGCTGGTCATTTGTCACTTATGTTCATACACCTGTGCCACACAGGTCAATGCTCAGAGGGTGCCATAAGGGCTGGAGGTAACATGCTTGGTTTGCACAGGTGGGTGGAAGATGCTGCTGACTCTGCTGAGAAGTGGCTGTGCATGCTGCTGTCAGCAGGGGCTGCGCTGCCTGCTCTTTTACCCCTACAGCAATGACAGGCTGGCTGCCGGTGAGGTATGGAGGGATATTAAGTAATATACATGCCTATGAATGTAACCTTCAAAACCCTTTCCTTATTGCAAAAACGGTGCTTTCAACTAAATAAATTATTTACTTTTCTATAAAATCCTACAAGGGACAAAAAAAGACTTTATGGGTTTGTTTTTTTTTTAATTAGATTTTTATACAGCTATCTTTTGTTAGCAAGGGAAACCTATAGAGCTTTTGTTCACTAAGTAGTTGCCCAAAGACAGCTCTTCCAACAGATGAATTGATTCCACACCTTTCAATCTCCTCTGCTCCCCCTGAAGGTAAAGCAGTCTGTATGTTCATTTTTGTGGAAGATCATACATGAAGGAACAAGAGAAATCCCTTTTAGAAAGGCACTGCAGTATCAGCAGAAATCATGTGGTAGAGGGAGGAAGGAAAAACCAAAACACCTGCAAAGATGAATGCTATGCAAAATGAAGTGACTGCTTCAGAGGAGAGAGCTAGAGTTCAGGGTGAGTTTTCAAGTAGCATCATGTGAGATTCTTTGAGGAATGAGTGCACTGTTAAAGCAGGCTTTAACTGCTTGTGTGTTTAAGGCATTTTCACAGGATATCCTAGTTAAGTTTGACAGCTTGTTTACAATGGGTTCTTGCATGGAAGCAGTTCCCAAATGATGTTATTTACTGAATTTCAGCAGAGCCATGGTGACTCACCCTAAAACTGTTAGACTGGACGTAAAACGAGATGATGAACAAAGGCCATAATTACATTGGTCTTTGTCACACTAAACTCCTTTCATTGTTCGCGTGTTCACGCCTTCAGTAGAAAAGCCGGGGTGTGTGTGGGGGGGTGTGTGTGTGTGAATATATGAATATACCTATCTTTCTGATTTACTCTGAATTGATCTGGATTAACCTTTGTTTTAAACCAGTAGTTATGTTATACTGGAAGCTATAGGGCAAAATCCTGTTACACTCCAACCTGCTTCTTGACTGTACAGAAGTCAAGACTACCTGTCTGCAAGATTAAGAGAGTGTGGTGCTGAATTCGTAGTTTAAAGAGCAACCTCTGTTTTGTGTCTGAAGCATTCTTCTTGGGAGTAGCAGGCTTTTCTGGTGTATGTACATCAGTTAGTGATTAAACGCACAAGAAAAGCGATGGCATTTTACTGAGAACTTGGCTGGTTTAGGGGAAGGAATAAAATAACTTCTTGGAGGCTAAAAATAGCATATTTTCTCTGCTCACTGGGATAATTGTGGTGTGTAAATAATCCATATGCCAGCTTTTCCCTCCAGAGAAAATAAGGTGATTTACTGGAAGTAGAATGAAGTTTTAGTTTTCTTAATTTTCCGAGGACCTAAAGGACCCTTATATCACATACTGTGAGCAATTCACCCCACAGGACTCAGGAATGGCTGTGCAGGGAATATATTAAGCAAACTACAGGATTCTCCCATTTCTGAAAATTACAAGGGCAGGTGCTGCTGAAGCACTTAATGGGGCTAGCGCTTCCGTATGTGGGTCCATTCCTTGCTGCATGGCAAGGGGAGCATGGAGCCTCCCCAGGGCATGTGCAGGCTGGAGCTTTCTTGCCTGGCTGATGGGTCTCAGATGGCTGAGCAGAGATCGGTCATGTCTTCCACATGTAGGCTGTGCAGTGCCATTTCTAAAGTAGTTGCTTTAAATCTCTGCCTTGACTTTGCCCTTTGAGAAAGTGTGAAAACACTTGAGGCTGTTAACTTAATCTGCAGATACACTTAAACCTCCTCAAAACTCTTCCATGCAGTATAAATGCTATGAGGGTAGTGAGGGCACCTGCACTGTGAAGAGAGTCTTTCCCACCATGTCTCTCTGCTTTGCCCACTGAATTAACACCGTGCTGAACAGCAGGGTTACTGTGACCTGAAAGGCTTCTTGCCTTGCCCTTCACTGATGAACATCAGCTTCATTAGCCCATCCACCTCCTGCTGGTCTGAATAGAAGATGAGAGTTACATGTTTGCCAATTCAGCGGACATTGAAGATACTGTATTTCAACTAAATCAACCATGACATGCATTTACATCAGGCTCACTACCAGTGTACTGTCCAAGTGCCAATAACACATTTCTCTGTATGTTTTTGAAGGGGTGAAGTGAATAAAATGGGGTTTTGCCACGTATAATGCAAATACAATAGGTGGTGTTAGGGACTACAGTTGAGATGCTGCAGAAGCCTTAATGAGCAAGGTCAGATGTGGCCAGGTATCATGGGTAATTAAAGCCAAATATTTATCCAGACTACTCTTTCCAACCTCCAAACATTTTGGTGCTTGTGACTTATGTATGTATATATACCTTATATTAGGTAAATTGGACAGTATCTGGGTTTCTAAGGCAGTCACACAGAAAGGAAATTTGAACCTTCACTTGAATACCTGACAGATGTCAACACACAATACTGGAGGAAGTACAAGTACCACCTCATTGCTGGGGTAAATGGCTATCCTGTCAAAGAGAAGTGCTGCTGCTTCACAGTCATGGGAAGCAAAAACAACAAGAAAAACTGCACTTTTGCTACTGTTGTGCACTGCTAAAATTACCTTGCCTACCTCTATGGATGAGACAGGGTTTCACTGTTACAAGTGAAGTAAACTAGATGTTTCCTTTCCTAGCTTTCTTGGAGCTAGTTCTTAGGTTCTGGGCAGAGTTTGTGTTTCACCCCCACCTCCCTCTTTCCAAGTTTACTCTGGGCTCAGCATACAGGTTTCTTGCTGCAGGCCAGCGCTACTAATGCAGTTCTTAGGGTGCCACCTCAGCAGCTGATTAAAAAGTGGTGGAAGGGGTCAGCCATGCAGGGCATGGCCATACCCACAGAGTGGGGAGACCTGGATGTTGGTGCTGTAGTGGCCACACCAGCACCCCTGGCAGGGGTGGTCTGGACCCCATTCAGGGCAGCACAGGCTCAGATAAACTTTTCCTCTCACATCAGCATAACCCTGCACCATGGCATGAGCACTGCCCTGGTACGGTGAATGCTCCACGTCTGCATCTGCTGTTCTGTTCTCCTTCCCGCACCAGAGCTAGAGGTGTGAAATGTCAAACTCAGCAGTAACCTAGGGTTTTCAGAGAACTGCTAGACCATGGCTTGATAAATGCTTATTTTGGCAGCTGCCATATGGGTTCACTTCATTTCTGCTAGGCCAACTCTTTGTTGGTGTGCTGGGGCCAGGAACTGAGCTCAGTTTAACAACTTGGCACGAAACAAGTGGCTTTTAGGATGGATAGGCACGCAATTGACAGCACACCTGGGTGCAGGATGGGAATAAGGCAGCAACTTAATCTGCACTGCAAAGGCTGCTAAATTTATACAAACCTGGGTGTAAGGTGTGTTCTGCCATTGACTTCCTACTGCGCTGTGAGCATGAGGAATGAATGGGATGCACCCACACCCGTGGCTTTTGAATTGTAAAATTGGCTAGTTGTTGGATTAGAATAAAATTTTAATCCTGTATGGTAGCCAAGTGGTTCACCTAAAGCTTTTTTGTGCATTGTGCCTTCACCTTTTGCACATGATCTTTGATGAAACATCTTCCTGTAGTATCTATCTTGAACTCTTCCATCTTACTTCCTTGTCTCCCTTTTGCTTTCCCCTCTGGTGTTTAGGATTTGGGAATTACTGACCCCACAGGCAAGTGGTCTTTCTAGTTTTCCAGAGAACTTCAGTGGTGTGGAACCAAGAGGTTTCTTGCAGATGTAACTTAAATTTATCAGTACAGAAGGTGAATGTAAGCAACGCTTTGTACAGTGGTCCACTTGCTCCACAGCACTCTCTGTAATTACTTTTCTGGTTTGTTCTTTCCCTTATTCCTGTGAGCTGAATAGAAAACCAATACTTACCAGGGTCCAAAAGAGGTAAATAGTGAAGAGTGCAACAGTGAGTGCAATGAGGCCAACAGCTTCTAGCGTACTACTAAAGTGCAGATGATCCACTGCTCCTCGTAGACACAACCAGCCAGAGATGGTTGCTAGCGGAGTGATAAACAAGAAGCACACCATGTCTCCAAAGAGAGTCCGTTTCTCATGCTGGGGGCCTGGGTTCCTCAGCCACTGCAGGCGAAACACAGACAAAGCAAGTGTCAGCACAGGGAGGATGTTCTATCTGAGATGAGCCGCTCACTTGCAAACCACAGACCTGTTCCTTTGAGGAGGGAACATGGACCACATGCAGGTCATGGCTTTGGCTGTCCCTAGAGAACTCCCAACCAAACTTCTCCCCCTCACTGCCTGTTGATGCACACCTCTACCTATGCGTACCTACTACATCGTTTATTCAGCTGTAATAGAAGCTGCCTTGAAAAGAGGAAGTGTTTTGCCTAGGCAGCCCCTGGCATTAGGCTGCCTGAACTGTATAAGAAACTCTCTTCTTAATGTGGAAAGAATCATACACTCTCCTGACAACTAAGGAGTGCAGAAAATACTTGTTAATATTTTGTATACTATTTTAAGATTATTTTTTTTTTTTACATTCTGCCTGTAATATTGGCAAAGCCATTTTCAACTTGCTTTCAGCTATCCGCATGCAAACGGAATTGAATGCACACAAGGTTACTTTTATTAAGAGGATATTAGCCTTGCAAAACAGTGTCTGAAAGTCAACTGCTGAAGTGAAGGTTGATTAGACAGCTATCAAGCCCACATGCCCATGTTTCTATAAAGAGGATTTTAGATAACAGAGGTGAAAGAAGTTCAGCCTGCAACAGTAACTGAGACCTTCTAATAAAAAACCCCTCATCAAGTCAATATTTGAACAGGAATACTACCAAGCCCCGAAATTTCTGTCAATGTAAGCACAGGGTTTGGTCAAAACCACTCCGCTGCATACTTTTTTTTGTTGTTGTTGTTGTTCTTTGAGCATATAACTGTATGCATGGTACTACCAAGGATAGCAAGTATTTCTTACTGTGGCACCTGGGAACCCCAGTGAGCCTGGGAGCTGTACATACTACCCTGGCCACCGAGGGCAAGCACACCATGTACCGTATAGGACTGCATCTGCCCCAGAGAGTCCACAATCTAAGCAGAGGAGTCAAAGCCAGGAACAGGCAGCAGAGGTGGAGCGAGCTGTCATAACCCCAGCTGCCTGTGTGGCCAGAGCTGGGCGCAGGGCAGGCGAGCGATGCCCACGTCCCTCCCAGGCCCCTGGCTCCAAGTGCAGAGGACAAGTTGGAGGCAAGGAAAGTCATGCTTCTCCAGGGAGCTATTGCATTATCTGTCATCAGCACAAGAAACCAAAGCCACTGCAGCTCTGTGCCAGTGGATGTGGATAAGGCTCATGCATCCTTAAGCTGTTTGGCCCTTTCATTCCTCCCCGTGTATTATACATGGCAGTAGAAATCCTGTCTCTTTAGCTCCAGAAACTAAGGCTGGGGAGGCAACTTCATCCCTTCACCGGTTAAGGTCCTTTATTCCCAGCCACCTTGGGTTTTTTAATTCTTCCCTATTACAGTGCTACAGCAATGACCCAGAGGAACAGCAGGACTCAAGAGCTTGACAAAAGAAGGCAGGACTAAGAGGATTGTGCAAGCTAATGGATAGTTCTCATGCAGGTATCCTACTCCTCTATTATTTTCAGACTCCGCTTCAAATTTTCCCACTTTGACCACACCATGAAAACAAATACAGTATTATTTCTCCATTTTCACAAGGGGTAGAACAACAGTCAAGAAATTGAATGCAACCAGGAACAGGCAGTCACTAATCTGGCACTAGCAGAAAGACACAAATGAGCAGACAAGTTTGCCTCAGCCTCACAATCTCTCAGGTGGAAATAATAAACTGCCTGCTTCACAGGATTTTTTGTGAGCTTTAATTGCAACACAGTAATTCAGCAGCCTAAGATCCATTTTCATGTATGACTCAGCAATTTAGGAGATGCAAAAATCTATTCATAAACATTTTTTGCAGGACGTAGGCTTTTAATTTGCCTGAACACTTTTAAAATCCTAAGGACGAGGGAAGTGCTTCATAACTGTTACGTACTACTATAAGCAAGAAGTTGTAATGGTAGATACTAGATAAAGAGGGAGGCTCAATATTGTTTTCCTTTTCAAGCAGTGTCTTGCGATTATTTAAAATACCAGAATACCAGGTATGGTAGGTTCACCCCAACCAGCAGCTAAGCACCCACACAGCCACATGCTCATCCCACCACCCCATCCATATGGGGGAAAGAACAGGAAGAGGCTGCAAGCAGAGCTTGCTTCAATAGAGCTTGTACAAAACAAGAAGACGTACATTTACATTTGAACAGCTTTTTACTTTATTGTAACTTTATAGAGAGAGAACACTGTAAAGCCATGTGTGAAAGGCTCACACAACTTTCACTGGGCTGTCATTCCGTTTACTTAAAAACACCCCCAAGGGTGCATACATAACAGTTTCAGGTTATATTTCATTGCTTCTAGGCAGGCAACCTTCACCTCGTTCCATTTTCATGAATCCCTGTAATGCAAAACTGACAAGAAAATTAGAGGAACTGAAAGCGCCTGGTTGTGGAGATTCTGCTTTTAAAAGTGACTGTGGAATGGTTCTGTGAAAAGTATTTGTTTAAAAGGTGACCTGCAAGAAAATTGCTAAGCACCTGCACTTCTCCGTGATCGCAGTGAGAATTGCAGGTGTTCACCACTTTCCCAGGGCAGACCCTAAAATGCCAGTATCTCTTATCTCAGTGCTACGTGGTGGCTGTCCCCCCTGTAACTGGGTGGTGAAGAATGCACTACAACATTTCAGAGTCCATTTAGTGGAGGCTGCATCCTCAAGTTGCAGTCTGTTGTGATCCTTTTGGCATACGTGCAGCTCAGCTAGTGCAAGAAATATTGTTTATTAATCTGAGAAGGAAGAACAGCAAAAATACATACATGTGAGGAAGCACACACATGAAGACGTGCTGTTATGTCTGCCCTATGACTTTCATAACACACAGTATAATGCATGTGAATTGAGGCAGCATTTTATGGGGTACCATCTAACTTGATTGAAAGCTTGAGCAGACAAAAATGGTGTGAGACTGCTTTCACAGGCTGATGGCTCCCCGCATTCCTTATGTCTTGTTTGACCCATACGAACAAAGAATCCAATCAAGCAATTAGAATATTAGATGAGGCTAGGACAAACAAGAGTAGTATTAAATAATAAATAAAATCTCCATTCTACAGGCTAACCTTAAAAACTGGAGAAATTTTATTAGCTAGTTCTGAAGTGGAAGCCAAAAGCAACGAGTAAGTAATTTAAATGTCTGTATGGATTTCAGTTACAGCATGTATTTTTCTCCTGAATTAGTACACACATGTTTCTAAATCTGCTCCTATTTAGACTCTAGGTTTCAGTCTTTTGTTTTGGAAGTGTGCACTGTCAAATTACTTTTGAGATAAAAATCCAGTTAGCAGATCCTTTTGTGAAACTGAAACCCACACAATCATCCCAACAAAGTGCTGAGCTGATTAATTAGCATGGAAGTACAGTAGGGACTACCCTGCTGGCAGAGAAGGAGATGTTAAGACCAGATGCAACTGTCAGATCTGCACTATCACGCTCTGAAATCTGTCCTATTAAAATGTCAGTGTGCTCAATTATTTCAGCAATAAATTCAGACTTTGTTTGAAGCCAAATGCTGGCCTGCCTGGCAAAGCACTATTTTATCAAGTGCAATCTTAAAGTGAACAGTGATTCCTATTCCTGATGACCCAGCTGGAGAGCCAGAGTAACAAGACACGAATTGACTTCAGCAATGGCAGCAAGCATGAATTCAAGAACAGGTGAGTGCACCACCCGATGCACAGCCCAATATTGGCTCATGCCTGACACAAGCAAAGAAACCCTGTGCCTGGAAACTAATACACACCAGATGAGAATCCAGCCCCTGAAAGAAACGTGGGATCCCACCTTGCCCCTCACAGTGACACATACCAAATGGGGACTGCTCAGAAGCAAAACACACTGCCGCCAAAGCCTGAGGTAATGTCTCTGGCTGCAGGATATCACTCTGCTCCCTCGGCTGTCCATGCCATCCCTTTGGCAGTGGGTGCTGCAGCTGTGGCCCCATGGACCGCACGCACTGCTCCAGCACCGGGGCTCTCTGCTCAGCCAAGCTCAGGTGAATGGGGCAGGTGTTGCTGAAATGACCCAGACTCTCCGTCTGCTGGGGGACAGGCGCTCCCCAAAGGGCAGCCGCAGCAGCCGGTCTGGGCAGGTGTCATGGTTTGAGCCCAGAAAGCATCTGAGCACCACGCAGCCGTTCACTCACCCTTTGCCCTCTCAGGAGTGGGAAGGAGAAAATGAAGCAAAATGACTCAGGAATCCAGATACGGACAGGGAGGGGTGCTCGCCCACTATGGTCATGAACAAAAGACAGACCAGTTTGGGAAAGAAAAATAGAACACCACTTTAATTCAAATGCTATCAAAGACAACACTTAACAGACAAGGTAGGACAGTGAGAAACGCTACTGCATCCAAAAACACCTCCCCCACCCCTCCCTTCTTCCCCGGCTCAGCTGTGCTCCCCATCTCTCCCCCTCCTCCCCCAGCAGCACAGGGGGGCAGGGGATGGGGGTTACAGTCAGCTCGCTGCTCCTTCCTTCTCCGGAGGTGGGGTGAACCCTGCACATCCCTCCCCTGCTCCACGTGGCTCCCCCATCACTGCAGACAGTGCTCCACAAACCTTTTCCAGTGTGAGTCCTCCCCAAGGTGTTGCAGTCCTCCCAGTGCTGAACTACAACAGTGAGGGTTTCTTCTCCCGTCCGAGTCCCAGTCCCCTTTAAGCGCAGCTGCCTGCTCTGGTGTGGGCTCCTTCATGGGCTTCAGGTCAGCATCTGCTCCACCATGGACCTCCATGGGTGGCAGGGTGGACGGCCCTGCCATCTCACCACAGGATACAGCCATTTCTGCTCCGGTGCACCTCCCTCCCTTTTGGTGTTCGTCCTTCTCCCAACTCCTACTCAAAAGTCCCAACCCCCTCTCACATTCCCCTTCTTAAATACATTCTCACAGAGGCACAGACACCATCAGTAATTGACTTGGCCCTGGCCAGAGGTGGGTCTGACTTGGAGC